TAAGAGAAACCACATGATTTGTCTTGTGTTATGAGAATGGGTTGGGCCCTGAAAATGTAACTTACAATTGTCCAGAGTTTGCCTGTGAGAGGAGCAATGGCAGTGCAGGGGAGGCAGCTGTTTTGAGCTATGTAGGGGGCTGCTGGAATGAGAGGTGTGCAGAATATGTATACGTGTGTGCGTGCACACATGTGTGTATGTGTGTGCATGTGTGCATGTGTGTGTGAGTGCATGCATGTGTGCATGTGCGCATGTGTGTGTGAGTGCGTGCACGTATGTACATGTGTGTGCATGTGTGTGTATGCGCGCACATGTATGTGTGCATGTGTGTGTATGTGTTTCTGAGTGAGAGATGAAGAAGAAGCTGAGAGAGGTGTGAGGGAGGGAGCGGGTAGAGAGTGGGTGAGTAAAGAGTGAGTAAATGATACAGAAGTATGTGTGTGAGTGAATGTGTGTGTGAGCAAGAGCTGTGCTACATAAAGAAACTGTAAAGAGCTGTGTGAGAGAGTGTGAAGGAACTGTGTAGCTATGTAAGCGAGATGTATAGCTGTGGCTGTATGGAGGTATATAGTTATATGTAAAGAATGTAGCTGTGTGGAGACAGACAGATTCTAAGAGAGCATTTTAAAGATGAAGTAAAAGAGAAAGTTACCATCAGAAAGTGTGTATATTTCCTCATTTCCCCCCTCAGAAAAGGTCTAGCAATCAGATAGATAAGAATGCTTCCTAAGCATTTGCTGCATGCATGGATTTTTGCTGTTGTTGTATACCCTGGGTGTTGACTGGAGGCAGGACCCGCTAAGTCAGTCGTACCCTCCATTCTAAAGTCAACATGAGATCTTAAGTCAGCTCACCTCTACACAGTGCCATGTGCATTCAGGAAATAAGGGCATTTTGTTCATATGCTAGCATCTCATTATCACCTCTTGACTGAATGATTAACAATCACCTTGATGTGGGAGTCCCCTCTGTACGCTGTGAATACTATTGGTTAATGAATAAAGAAACTAGCTTAGCCTGATAGGATAGAACAGAGCTAGGAGGGGAAAACTAAAGTGAATGCTGGGAGGAAGAAGGCAGAGAAGAGAGAAGCCATGTAACCCCGCCAGGGACAGACACTGGAAATTTACCTGGTAAGCCACAGCCTCATGGCGAAACACAAATTAATGGAGATGGGATAATTTAAGATATGAATTAGCCAGAAATATGCTTAAGCTATTGGGAAAACAGTATTGCAAGTAACACTATTTCTGTGTGATTATTTCAGGAGACTGGGTGGCTAGGAAACGAACAAGCGGGCTCTTACAACATTACCCTACACCATTTTCTATCAAGTCTAAATTCAAATTTCCCAGATAAACATGATTTCCTAATCACATGTCACCAAGGATACTTGTTCTTAAAAAAAAAAACAAACGGCTATAGCCAGGCAGTGGTGGCGCACACCTTTAATCCCAGCACTGAGGAGGCAGAGGCAGGTGGGTCTCTGTGAGTTCAAGCCCAGCCTGGTCTACAGAGCAAGTTCCAGGACAGGCTCCAAAGCTACAAAGAAATCCTGTCTTGAAAAACAAAAACAAAAACAAACGGAAAAAATACAGCTATAAATTATGCAGTTTTATCCCACAGGAGGCTTGGATGACAGATTGGTTTTGTTGCTGTTTATTTTTTCCTACAGGAGCTCACTCTATTGGTCTTGGGTCTGAGTCTCAGCAGTTCTTCTGCTTCTACCTATTCCCAGAGAACTGATTAAACCCCGCCCCTAACCTGCAGCTTCCCTGACACTTTCTTCTGTCGTAGCCCCCACTCCCATGCCCCTACCCCGTCCTACCCCTCCAGGAATGGACTAAGGCTATTGACCTAGGGAAAGGCTTTTGTAATGGGATTGCCCTATCTCTGGGTGCAGAGGCAGAGATGAGTGTAGGGCTTGGAGAAGGACTGGCATGCCAGGGTCAAAGCGGCATTGCTTTGGCAGGGAAAGCAGCTGGGAAGGGAAGGAGGCAGGAGAAAAGTTTGCGCAGTTTGAAGTACACAGAGAAGAACTCATCCACTGTTCCATTTCCTTCTTAAACAAAAGAAAATATGAAATAAGACAAAGAAACACCATAACAAAATAACACATGTTCACCTCAAAAAATGTGAAGAAAGCATAATGAATCATATTTTATTTCTATTCTCATTAAAAGGTTGTTAATCTTTCAGTTTTGGGCTAACTTTTAAAAATGCAAATACTATATAATAAAGTCCAGATGACCACAATGTCTTTTGTGTTGTATAATTTGTTTCTTTCTTTTATTCTGAGCTATACTGGGAATGTTCTCATCGGCCATTCGATATGTATGCAAGCCAGCCTTTAGCAGTTGCAACATGCTAACTCACGTGTGTAACACACATTCACACTGTTTAGTATCATTGTGAAAGCGTTATCCCGAGGGTCGTATACCTGAGTCTTGGAATGGGTTTCTATGAATATACTCCTTTAGGATAAAACCTGTCAGGAATTATCCTAGCCGGAAATATCAGAACATGTTCCCTTCCAGCGTGCTTCTAAGTTGACATGGTAACAGAAAAGGTATAAGTGAGTCCTCTTCCCCACATTCCTGTCGACTTTCCCCGTCTAACCTGACGATTAGACACACGCATGTGAAATTGCCCTCCCAGCCTGTTTCTATTCACATCCCTCAAACCTTTGACCTTTTATTGCTTTATATCAAACGAATAAGGTATGTGTTGGCTTTGGCTCCCAGCAATTGGCAAAAGGGAAGTGAAGAGCTGTGGGCTACTGTTGGGATAGAGGAGTTGGGCTACCGATGGAATTTGAGAGCTGTAAATTATTTCCTTACATAATTTGCAAGGCCAAGCGACACACGAAAACCTCCAGCCTGCAAATCTGGAAGAGTGATTTACTACCGAGAACGATGCTGTCTAAACACACACCATTATAGATGTAGTATATTCACATACATATTTTTACCCTTTCTTCTAAACTTTGGCTTTCTATATGAATTCTGGTCTATTCTGGGTTGGATTTTGTTTGTTTGTTTTTTAATCAAACCATGTCATATTGTTTTTTAATCAAACCATGTCATACATCACATAGCTTATAAGCTTTATATAGATACATGCAAAATAGTCTCTATATGTACAAATGTGAATACTTTTCTTTTTAAAGAAGATTTATGTATCTGTTTTATGTATATAAGTGCTCTGTCTGCATGGATGGATGCACACCAGAAGAGGACATCAGATCTCACTACAGGTTGTGAGCCACCATGTGACTGCTGGGAATTGAACTGAGACCCTCTGGATGGGAAGTCAGTGCTCTTAACCTCTGAGCCATCCCTCCAGCCTGTGAATATTTTTCTTGAGAGAGAAGCCCAAGACTTCATATTGTCTAAAAGAGTACAAGAACTGATTTAAGGATCTTCAGCATGGAGAAAATTCTAAGTTATATCTGCAATGCTTACAGGAGCCAGGCAGGCAATGAGAGAGTACAGAATACAGAATGGTGGTTGGTGACTTTGGTATCCTCAAATGCATTTGTGCCAGCTACATCAAACAGTTGTCTCTTGTTCCAGGACACTATCGATATGGGGAAACATGGGCCCTGTTTGCAGATCTGATTTTTTTTTAATGCCAGAAATCTGGGTATTTATAAGAAATCTTCCAAACTTCAAATGCTTTTAATAATTTAAATAAGCAAATATTATATGAGACAAATAATGGATCTTCTGTTTTCCCCACCCCAACCCCTCAGGCTACTAGGCTTGAAAGAAACTATCAACTTTTAACCATAACTAAACCCATAAGTAAAAGTAATTAAATGTTCTCTTTAGTATTCTAAAAAGCCAAGAACAGCAAGGTTACTTAAGAAAAATGATCTCTGGTCTGCCTGGACTTTGGCACTTGGGAATGGGTAAATGTGACAGCTTTTCAGAGAACGTACCGGATGACAGTCAGTGCTGACACTCTCCCTGCCACCTCTAATGTCAGACTCAACAGACAGAGCCTTTGCTCTGAGAAGAGAGTTCTGGAAGGAGGACATGTCAAGGCTCCTAATTGCATAGTTACATAAAGCCTTGCGTTTTCAAGCCCATAACACTAGTGAGAGACACCATGCCACATTTTATCAAGTGTCAGAATGAAAGTCAGTGTAAGAAGCACAGAAGGTGCACAGCAGCATACCAACTTCAGATAAATGTCACTAAAAAATATGTCAATCTGTACATAAGAATGCTCGGTTCAGTTTGAAGGAACTCTGCCATGTCTCATTTGGCCATAATGACCCAAAAGACAAATACACTTCCAAATCCAACTGTATTGTAAGTGGAGATTTAAAAATACTAGCCTTTTACACTAGGATGCAAACTCTGATTAAACCTTTTTCATAGCTCTTGGCTGCTGACACCATGGCAGGCTTGCAGGGCAGGTACATAGAGCTAGTCCTGAGCTCTGTGGAAGAGGGAGTGGGTGACGAGCCAGGAGGAGAGGCACCCTCAGGACAGCTGCCCAGAAGTTAGCGGGCCAGAGAGCTGAAGCTGGGAACCAAAGGAGCCAGCTTCTGAAAGTATTATCGAAATTGACAACTGCGTTTTTCCTGAGGACATAAGCTGACATTTCCATGGCCAAATATGCATTTCCCCATTCTGTGCCCTAGATAGAATTTTATACATAATATGTTTAAAAATGGCATCTTGCTCACAAGACATCACATGCTGAACAAATGAAGGGTTGAGCTGGGGTCAACAGTGCCAGAGGGACAGCGAATCCCACTACACTTCAAATCAACGGAATGTGCTTTGCAGATGAGCTCTCTCTCTCTCTCTCTCTCTCTCTCTCTCTCTCTCTCTCTCTCTCTCTCTGTGTGTGTGTGTGTGTGTGTGTGTGTGTGATCTGTATGCATGCCTGTATGATGCACCTAATGCATTTTTATTTTTCCATAGTTAGTAAAGAACAGCCAAGGTTCTCATGGCCTCCTTAAATAATCAGAGAACACAAAGTACCTGTGATCATGCTGGATATAATCAGTGGCAAAATGACAAGCTTCAGCATCCTCATTAGAATTTCTCCAGGAAAAGCAAAGTAGAATTTATCCAGACTTGAGAGCTCACTGTGTTCACGAACCAAGACTCCTATGACAATGCCTAAGGAAAACGGGGAAGACAGAGAAAACACTTTTAGATCTCTTGCATATAATTTGATGAGAAAGTATCACAGAATGCAAATTTCAATGGCAAGAAAAGCTGTTTAGACCATCTCTTGCAAACCTATAAAGTTTAGAGTTGCAAAATCCAGAAGGTAATGAATAGGAAGCACGCAATAAAAAATGTAAAAAAAAATCCTTCACATGAAAGATTTTGCTTTGATTTCCTCCTCATTGGGTCTCTATTGAAATGACACATCATCAAAGGCGACTATGGGAAAGAAAAGATTCATCATCAGAAGCTCCTTGCTCTCCTTGCCTCTCTTCATCTCTCTCTCTCTCTCTCTCTCTCTCTCTCTCTCTCTCTCTCTCTCCCCTTTTCTCTCTGTAGTACCAAACAGCAGGCAAAAGTTTCATGTAGAGATGTTTTGTTTGTGTTTTAACAAATAAAGCTCGCCTGAAGATCAAAGTGCAGAGCTAAGCCACTAGAGGCTAGAGAGTGGAGGCACACACCTTTAATCCTAGGACTCAGAAGACAGAGGCAGAGGGATCTCTGTTAGTTCAAGCTACCTTGGGCTACACAAGATGGAGTCTGTCTAAAACAGAAACAGAGCTCACACAAAGGTGATTCCCGCACTTGGGATCCCACGCCTTTAATCTCAGCACTAGGGAGGTGGAGACAGGAGCTAAGCTGGGTGCAGAGAGGACCGTAAGATGGGAGGAGACAGGAGCTCAGCGCAGCATGATTCTTCCCACAGGCCACCTTATACTTTATCCATAGCAGAGACCTGTTACGTATTTTGTAGTTCGTTTATAGTTGCATTTTTCTCACAAGTGATATTACAAGATAAATTTTGGGTACTAGAGAGATGGTTCAAGGGTTAAGAACACTTGCTGTTCTTACAGAAGATGCAGGTTCAGTTCTTAGTACCCACACGGAGTGTCTCACAACCACCTGGAACTTCAGATTCAAGGAAGCTGACTTCATCTCACCACTTTAGATGCCTGCAGGCATGTGGTGCAACACACACACACACACACACACACACACACACACACGAGTAAATAAATAAATCTTTTAAAAGATAATTTTTATAATAAATTTATCTGCTTATGCATCTTTTATAATTTTAATGGAAAAAATAATTTCTGTTTGGTTTTTAGACAAGTCTCTATATATTCCAGGTGGTTTCAACCTTGAAATCCTGCTGTATTAGTGCTGAGATTATGGTATGTGGTACCGCATCTAACTAATTTACTGTCACTTTGACAGGTACCACATTTTAGAGCACCAATATTATCTAATGTTTCTCATTCATTATTCCAGCATGCTTAACTCTATCAAACCAAGAGCCTTTTTTTTTTAAAAAAAAAGATTGTATTTTATTTTTAATTATGTAAATATGTGGGGGGGTGTTGCACACATGATTGCAGTGTCTGTAGAGGCCAGAAGAGGGCATCAGATCTCAGTAACTGGAGTTACAGGCTGTTGTAAGCATCCCCAAGTAGGTGTTGAGAATTGAACTTGGGTCCTCTGGAAAAGTACTAAATGTCCTTAACCTCTGGGCCATCTCCCCAGCCTCAAGATTCCTTTTATGAAATTTCTGATCCCAATTTCATTATATTTGAACTTTGTAATTATGCAAATAGAAGGATGTTTTCATTATTAAAAAAGCTCCAGGTTCACAAATTAAGGGTAGTCTCACGAAACTGCTCTACTTTAGACATCAATCATAAGCCCTAGATAGCCTGGGTTTCTGGCTGAACTTCTCTAAGTCACAGTTCCTATGGCCCTGCCTTTGGGTTCGATTAGTTTGCTAGAACAGATTACAAAACTGAACTAAACCTTAAAGATATTACAAAGCACAGGGATGAAAGGTCAGGGGAGCTGACACACAAGCCCATGAATGGGAGAAAGGGTACAGAACTTCCCTGACTCATGGCATGCCACTTTCTAAAAGCTCAATTTGTTCATTTATCTAGAAGTGTGAAAACTTAAGCTTTCTATAAAAGTTTTATTATATAGACATGATTGGCTACATTATTGACTACTGGTTTATAAACTTTTTCCCCCTTGTGGAGGCCCAAAAATGTGAGCCTATTTCCCCTTTGACCAAAGGTCAGAGAGTTGGAATTTACCTCTAGTTCCTTCAAGGTCATCATGCCTCTGCCTCAGATATAGATCAGAGAGTTCTGCTCTCTCAAGGTTATTGTCAACAGGTGTGGCTAATAGCTAGCCCTTGTATTCCAAGAAAAGAGAAGTAGATTGCTCCCATCTCAAACAAAAGTCCAAGGATCCAACTAAGTTCTAGTTCCTTTATGGAGATAACTGAATTCCACCCAGGGAGTGGTTTGCTTACACAATGTTTTGGTCTAGGGTGTGAGCGTGACTTATTTTGTTCTAGCAACAGAATGTTTAACTATGGATGTAGTCTGCAACCTTCAGTTGGTATGTTCATTTCCTTGTATCATGTTAATGCAGTTTTTTTTCTTACTTCTACTTTTTGGGGTCAGAGGTATTTAAAGCAATTTAAAATTAAACATGGGTGAATTTCAGTACTCACTGGAATTCCCTCCCGATACTATCCTATATGTTTCTGTTTTATTATTTTCCTTTGCATCTTCATATTCTTTACTATATTTCTAAATTTCCATACCTTTACCCTGGCAAGAGGTACTTTTGTATAGGCTGGTCCCCAACACCCCCACCCTTATGAATGCCTTGAATCACAAAGTTGGTTGGTTTCCCTGGCAACCGAACACATTTCCTAGCTAGGAGGGCCCCTCCTTAATCTCAATGATCCAAGGATTTTACATGTTCAGTAGCCCTGGGTCTCTACCTTTTATGTACTGTAGTTTCAATAACTTACACGAATCTCATTCTTAAAATACTGCATGGAAAACTCCAGAAATAAATCACAGGTTATTTATAAATAATTTTTAAAGAAGAAAAAGAAACAAGAAATATTATTGATTCTCTGAAATCTTGCCTTAATATGTCTATGTGAAAATTCCCTGCTGTATAGAAGCTCAACTTAACAATGCTTTTGATTACTAAAACTCACAAAACATTAAGATTTTCATATTATCTTGTTCCGACTACTTCAAATAACATCTAACTGCTCTGTCTTGCCTTCCCCTCAACATACACACTTTTTTTAAAAATCAAGAAATAAATGAATTAGATGAATATCATATCTTTCTTCCTGTGTGACATGTTAGCCTGATGAATGACATGCTAGCTGGAAGGGAAAAATGACTAAAATCACAGGAAGATTCAAAGAGGATATCGCTGAATATGCAAATTTAGAAACTCAGATAGTTTAAGAAAACTCAGAGTCATACGGATACAGTTAGTCACCACAGGGCAATGACAAGGGAACTCAATTATAACAGACTAGAGATAATCTTCATTCAAATGCAGGTATCCATCCTTCAGCGACTTCTAGTTCAAGTGGACGAACCTCACAAGATTCATTTTTAAGTACCTTAGTCTTTACCTAAATTTTATTCTTCTATATATTTTGCCTTGACACATTTTGATATTTAGATATTTCCCAAAGTGTAGCTATAAAACAGAAGAACTGTAATTCAATTCAATGTAACTACTATGTTAAAATCCAGAGTTAGAGATTCATAAATAGTTAAGATATCAAGTATCCAAACTCTTTTAAATAAATTTAAAAGGTATGACATTCTCATGTCTTGCTTTGTGAATTGCCTGTGTTTAACTGTTTCATAGAATACCAACCGGTTGCTTCAGGAAAATTTTGTGCTTTTATGTAAAAGGAATCTTGGTATATAAAAATAAAGGTGCCTCTATGTACTCAAAACCAATAACACCAGCAGCCCCAGAACTGCTACATTGAGCAGCAGACCCTATGTGTTCAACCTTTGCATGTACACTAATAATGAACAAGAACTATACCTGTAATCGTCTCCAACCCATACGAGTGCAGGCTGGCTAGGAAAAACTGTATTCTTTTTTTTTTTTTCAGTCTTTAGCCAGATATGTATTTTTATGGGAGAAACAAACGAGCTGCTTTGTGGAATGGTTGGGAGTCATGCATGATGAATAAATAGAGCACTATGTTTGGTAATGATGGCTATCAGGCTCTTTGAAGTTGAACGCCACAGGACCCTAACAGCTCTCCTTTCATTGCAGAGAGCAGAAATGTCTCCCAAGCTCCGAGGAAGCTATCGGAGGTTCGCAGCTGGCACCCTGGCATCCTGACCTAAAATGGTCTGGTGAGCAACCTTAGCCTAGGGCACAGCTTGAAAGTGAATGTGTTTTACTTTAGCTTCCAGAAAATTGGGAAACATCAGATTCGGGACAACGGCAGCAACTCAAGCACCTCACAAGGCCTACACTAACTACAGATGTCTGCTCAAGGCAGCAACAGTAGCTGGGAGGGAAACTCAGCAAGCCCTGGGACAACCTGATTCTGGCAGTCAGTGAAGTATAAAGTCCATGAAGTATAAAGCCAGGGTGTTAGTGCATAAGCAGAAAGGCATCTTCTGAATGCTTGTCCGTGACTAATGGAATGCTCCAAACTTACACAAGCAAGTGAAATGCTTACCTCCTCCTTTGTTTACCAAACAACCTGTTCAACTCTCTGGTCCTCACTGGCTCCCAGTTGCTTAGGAGCAATAGTTTCAGCGAAGCATTGCCTATCTTGTTTGCCATGCTTGGCTTGTTTCTTATTTACTGTTTCTATGTCAACAAGTGAAGTGGAATAATTCTTCTGTACACCATGAATATGTATGACCCTCATTACTTAATAAAGAAGCTGATTGGCTTATATAGCAATACAGGATAACGCTGGTGGGGGGGACAAATCAAACTGAGGATACTAGGATGAAGAGGAAAGGAGTTAGAGCATTGCTGGCAGATGCAGAGAGCAAGATGGGCATGCCATACTGAGAAAAGGTACCAAGGCATGAGGCAAAGCATAGATTAAAAAAAAAATCTGGGTTAATTATGTGTAAGGGCTAGTGATA